CACAACGAAACACACAGCGCCTTCACGACATGGCGGCAGCAACAATACTACAGCGAGAGTAAAAGTTACGCCTTCTTTCTTTACGTGAACATTTGAGTGGCGTTATGCAAATCTTCCTACACAGTGATGTAGACATGTGGGGGGCATGTTAGAACGAGCCGTTTTAGGTAGGCCTGGTTGACTCTTAACTTTTATAAAGAATATCTCTTTGGATTTGAGACTTTAGTCTTTGCAACTTTACAGATCTTCTTTATGCACCAAGAGCTTGTAACACTCCAAAGAGAAAGGAAAAATTTAAATCGCATCATATGACCCATTTAAAATGCTACTTTGTCTCCTTATAATATAAAACTTCTGACTTTCCTCTTCTCTGACATTAAAAAACAATTCATTCAGAAGAGCAGCTGGACGTGATGTGAACCATCAGGCAGGACTTTAAGCAGTTGGAGACGTGAAACAGCTTGATAGAATGGAGTTTTGTTTGAAATACCACTGAAGATAATTCATTTCATTTTTTTATATAACTACCATTTCTTCTCTTTTCTTTGATAGGAGAAGGAGAGCCAGCTTTTTTGAGCATCCTCCAGAAAGAAGTAGGACACTGTCTGAGAGGAAGCTGGAGAATAAGAGAGAGAAAATTAATGAATCTTGGTTATTAAGATCACAGATAAAACCCTCCTGGTGGAAAAATGCAGAATGACACATACCAGGTTCCTAATCAGCCATCTGCAAAGCAGCAGATTAAAACGGATGCTGTGATTGTATTAAAGTCTCCAGGGCTCTCAGTCCAAAAGATTCACAGAGAAAGAACATCTGTGACTGAAGCAGAGGGTCAGTGCTGATCCACGAGGAGCATTTACTAAAACAAGACGAGTGCCTGTCCTCCCACATACAGTATACATTCCTCATAAACCTCAGTTCTCCATCTGTCTGGCTTTTCCAGATCAGGCCTCTGGAATTATGCATTAATGGGAACTAGATGAGTCAGAGATGGGTCAGTTATTCTCTGATACTGAACATACCTTGGGAAATTTCCAAAAAGGTCCTTCTAAAAGCAGTTTAAATCCGACCGCTTTGGTGTGATGTGACACCAGAAGGGAAATGATTCTCGAGACGATTCCTTTCCCATTCTGAGCTCTTTACCAGTGACCAGACTGACAGATGGGCCCTGAAAATGACCTGGTTTTGATTTTCTTGAAGCCTTTCTGATGTGCAATATTAAGTTGAAATCAGGTGTTTAGAACAGTAATTTAATGCAAACAAGATGGGCTGTAATGCACCGCAGAAGTTTGTTTAAAAGAAATGACTTCAAGCATCAGGTATGTAATAGCAGACAAGAATCAGTGCACAGTGGATCAAGCCTGTGTCTCTTTGTGTTCTGTTACAGATGTACTGAACCATCAGAAATGTTATTACTTTTTGGATGCCACTGTATTAACCATGAAATGAAGGGTTTAAGTTTAGTAACTGATGAGTTTTGGTGTAATGACAGTCATTATACTAAATGTTTCCTTAGTTACTGTAAATTATACTTAGAACAATTATTTATAAAATTTGGAGCGTTGTGTCACACCCACTGTGTGATACTGAGAAAAGCACTGAACTTTATGGCAAATTATCAAGTTTATCAAGGGTCCAAACTTTTTTGAAAATGGAAACAATTAACAAGCCAAAAATATTTCTCACTGGCCATTAATGTGTATTGTGTAAGAAACAGTACAATTTGGCATTGTTTTCTTGAAATCCATATTTTGTTGCTGTGATGACAAAGACATAACTTTTATTTTCGCATCAGTTTAAACTTAACAAAAAAAAATGTTATTAAAACACAAATACCCATAGGAATTTTATTTGTTGTGTTTGTTGGTTTAACTAGCCATAATAACATAATTTCAAGATTTATGAAAAAACAAACATGAAAAATACATTTTATTTAATTAAATAAATTGCTAAAGACACAAGGATATTTGTTAACATTTTTATTTTGCCATTTTTAATGTCTGTTATAATGCAGTTCTGCTCAATCTGATCAACTGGTACTTAAAAAGTTTTTATTTGATGGCTTCACGATGAAAAATGAAAACATTGCCTAATTGTACGTTTCAATTTAAAGATAATTTATATTGCAGTTCTGCTCTAAAAATTCTGGTCAGCTGGCACTTAAATGTTTTTTCCCTTTATTAAAAATCAATTTACATTTTTTTAATTTATGCATAAATCCCTTTCTATTTGAATTTTAAATTCATACATGTATATTTCTAAATTTCTAAATGTATTTTTAAATGCAATACAAATCAGTTATAAATACTTGGGCATATCCATGCATTTCAATCCGTAACGGTTTCTTACAATAAAGGAATTTAGGAGGAGCTGTATTGATTTTTGCCTTTTCTCTCTCTTTACACCAGTTACTTTTGGTTGGGTTGAAGGGCAGATCACATTTGGTCGATAACACATTATCACCCGCAGGCCTTGTGCTTCTTACATTGACTTGATATTAAAGTGGAGGTTTTACAGCCTGTTTCCCACTGAGTTTTATGTACATGTCTCCCTCTCCCACCTGATACCCTCCCTGTAGTGTATGTGTCTTCCTGATGGTGAGGGTGTATTAAAGTGTCTCTGGAAACATTTGTGTAAGTTCAAGTAACCAGGGCCCACAGAGTTCATGCACAATGACTAACACATTCGAGCCTAATGATTTAACCAGGAGTGTAACTCCATGGTCAGGCCTTATCTCCACAGATTTATCATCATATCATATCATGTCTCATAAAAACAAGAAAGGGAGAAAAATGCATGAGAGAAGCAAATTTGAGGACATGTGAATGTGACAGTCACTGGTCGGTCTGCAATTGCAATTGAGAATGATTTAATATCTTATCTTAACTTTAAAGTGTATCTTTTATTAGGTGGGAAGGCAATGGTGGTAACAGGTTACAGCTGTTTAGTGACCCTCTTAAAGGGATAGTTCACCCACAAATGAAAACCCTGTCATCATTTACTCAGCCTCACATTGTTCTACAACCTATGTGATTTTGTGATGTAAGCTCCAAAAATGTTCAAAAACCACTATGAAACCATCATAAAAGTGGTTC